ACAGGTTTTGGTTCTCATTTTTTCCCCTTACCCCTGCCCTCCTTTCACCCCCTCCTCCCTTCCCTATTTACAAATACTTTATTTCCATTTTTTCATGTTCTTTTTTCTTTTCCCTTATTACCTTTCCCCTACCATTCCCATTTACCCTACACCTTTTCTTCCTATTTCACGTTGCCAGTTATATCATTAAGATTTTATGTACCATTATAGTTTTTCACACCAGAGAAACTATTCAGTATTTGTATATGTGTGACTTATTTATTTCACTTAGGAGGATATCCTCAATATGTATCTGTTTTCCTATGAATGACTCTAATTTCTCATTCTTCATGGCTGAGTAGTATTCCATTTTAATAGAAAAACCACATCTTCTTTATCCAATTTCAAACTGATGGGCAAATGGGCTGTTTGCAAGTTTTAGCTATTACAAACTGTGCTGCTATAAACATGGGTGTGCACATATCACTATGGTATGATTCTTTTAATTCTTTTGGAAAGATACCCAGCAGAGGCATGGCTGGGTCAGATGGAACCTCTAGTCCCAGCTCTTTGAGGTATCTCCATATTGATTTCCATAGTGGTTGCACCAGTCTGCACTCCCACAAACCATGGAGAAAGGTTCCTTTCTCCCCACAACCCTGCAAACATTTGCTATTGTGTGATTTCTTGATAGCAGTCATTTTTTTGTGGGGTGAGGTGGAATCTCAGTGTTGTTTTCATCTGCATCTCTCGAATAACCCGTGATATGGAACATTTATAATCTCAGTGTTGTTTTCATCTGCATCTCTCGAATGATCAGTGATGTGGAACATTTTTTCATATATTTACTTTACTACTTTGTCTGAGAAATGTATATTCATTTCAGATGCCCATTTTTGAACTGGGTCTTTACATTTGGGGGGCTAATTTTTTTGAGTTCTTTATATATTCTAGATAATAGTCCTTTGTCTGAGGAGCAGCTGGTAAAATTGTTTTCATCTGCATCTCTCGAATGATCAGTGATGTGGAACATTTTTTCATATATTTACTTTACTACTTTGTCTGAGAAATGTATATTCATTTCAGATGCCCATTTTTGAACTGGGTCTTTACATTTGGGGGGCTAATTTTTTTGAGTTCTTTATATATTCTAGATAATAGTCCTTTGTCTGAGGAGCAGCTGGTAAAATTTTTCCCACATTTTAGGTCATCTTTTAGTTATGTCGATGGTTTCTTTTGCAGTGCAGAAGCTTCTTAATGAGATCCCAGTTGTTGATTCTTTCTGCTAATTCCCGTGCTACTAAGGGTTTGTTCATAAAGTCTTTTCCTATGCCAATGTCTTTGAGAGTTCTGCCTAACATCTTCCAGCAACTTTAGTGACTCTTTTTAAGTATTTAGATCTTTAATCCACTTGGATTTTGGTTTAGTACATGGTGAAAGATAAGGGCCTAGTTTTAATCTTTGGCAAGTTGAAATCCAGTGTTTCCAACACCATTTATTGAAGAGGCTATCTTTCCTCCAGTGGGGATAGTCAGCTCCTTTGTCAAAGATGAGGTAGCTGAGTACATTTGGAGTTGTTTTTGTATGTTTCAGTCTTTTCCCCTGATCCTCAGTTCTGTTTCTTTGTCAGTACCGTGCTGTTTTTATCACAGTGGCTTTGTAGCATAGTTTCAAATTGGGAATTATTATACCTGCTTCCCTGTCTCTGTTGCATAGGATGGCTTTTGCTATTCTAGGTCTCTTCTGGTTCCTGAATTTTTGGATTATTTTTTCTAGTTCTGTGAAATATAGTGTTGGAATTTCAATTGGTATTGCATTGAATCTGTATAGCAGTTTTGGTAGTATGGCCATTTTCACTATGTTGATTCTTCCTACCAGGAGCAGGAGATATCTTTCCATTTTCATATATCCTCTTCCATCTCTTTTTCAGTGCTGTAGTTTTCAGTGTAGAGGTCTTTTGCTTCTTTTGTTAGGTTGATTCTTAGATATTTCATTTTTTGGATGCTATTGTGAAAGGAATTGTTTGATTTTTTAGTGTTGACCTTGTATCCAGCTACTCTGCTAAAAGTGTCAATTAGGTCTAGGAGTCTTTTGGTAGAGTTTTTTGGGTCTTCAATGTAGAGTATCATATGGTCAGCAAATAATGACAATTTAACTTCTTCCTTTCCTATCTTTATTGCTTTAATTTCTTTTGTCTGAGTGTGGTGGCTAATGCTTCCAGAGCTATATCGAAGAGGAGTGGTGATAGTGGGCACCCTTGTCTTGTTCCTGATTTTTCTTGATACTATTGAAGACAGATTTTAGGCTTCATTCTGACATGCCTATTTCAGTGTTTTGCCTAGTGCTTTACTATGGTTCTACTCTTTGGCATGACGCTTATTTCTAGCATTGGATTTTGGGGTGTGTGTGTGTGTGTGTGTATCCTCAGACCAGAGTTTTCTCAAAAATCTCTCTGGCTGTGCCAGATGGCTACCAACTCTGAAATATTTGTTCCATATCCCAGAAACTGTTTTTTACTATGACTTCTTGGAATCATCCCTTGCATACAGGCAACACAACCCTCAGATAAAAGAATTTCCTTGCTGCTTTGTGGTTCTCCTTCTATGTGATTCTCTTATCTCTGACTCCTTGTCCTTTACCTCACTTCACCCTCTCCCCAAGTCCTAGTCCCTGTGGCATTTCTGATTTCTAATCTTGAATTCTTCTGCCCAACGAGCTGAAACTCTTTGAAAAGCGCCGTTTGGGGAAAAGGTGAAGCTCAGCTCTTGTAGCTCCTTTCTCTCAAGGTTTGTAGCCTGATGCTGATTTCTGTTCATCTTGGACTACAGAGTATTATTCTATATATTTTACCTAATTTTATGATTTCTTATAGCAGGAGGATAGAGCAAATCCAGCTATTCTATAATGGTTAGAAGAAGAAGTCTTGATGGGTATTGAAAATGTTATTTTGTTTTTCTTGAGAAAAGAATCTGTGAGATGAGTCATGTAACTATTGCAGCAATCCAGATGAGAGATTGTACTGACTTGTCTAGAGCATTAGCAATAGTGTGGTAAGAAATGGCCAAATTATGAAAATACCTTGAAGATAAAGATACAAAGATTTTTTGATGGACCTGATGAGAGGGTGTGAGAGTAATATTGGGGTATATGATAGTATACAAGAGTTTAGTTTATGGTGCTGAAAAAATGTGGTTGCTAATTATTGAGGTGGGAAGACTGCAGTGATTGGGAGGAAAATTCTAAGAGTTTGCTTTGGAGCTATTGCATTGGAGATGCCCACTGTACTTGCATGTGTACCAATCAAATAACAGTAGTATTTGGTTGATTCAGGAATTTCAGAGGAGAGGATGGGCTGATGGCACAAATTTGGGAGTCATCAGCATATAGTTTGTATTTAAGGTCACGAGATTAGGTGTGAGTACCAAAGAGATAAGTAGAGATTCAGAAAAGAAGGTGAGGAGGTAAGCCTTAGTGAAACATTTATTAAAAACATAGTTACAGCTTTATAAGGGCTAATTTATTTTTTCCCCATTACATTAAAGCAAATAATACAATTGTATTTATCATTGGGATCTTGTACCTTTACATGATATGTCTCAGTTCTTATTTTTTCCCCATACCCCTGCCCTCCCTTCACTACCTATTTACAAAGACTTTGCTTCCAATTTTTCCTTTTTTCACATTTTTTCTTTTCCTTTCCCCTTCTCATTTCTCCTTTTGCCATTTTATTCCTCTTTTATACTATCAGTTATACCATTTGAACCTTATTTACACTTTTAGTTTGGGCTAATTTAATTTAATAAAATAATCTTATAAACAGCCTAGTGGAGAATGCTGGAGCAAAGAATCATTATTTACTGAAGCTTCATTCATTTTTTAAAATTTAGACACTGCAAGCTGCCTAAGTGCTTGAACAAACTGTTCCCTGGATCAAAATCTTCATCAGTGACTGAGACTATTGTTAGAAATTACTGCTAATATTTCAAAACAGTGAAGATTAACCTTGGACCCATTTAACAAATTTAGAATATATTTTGTTTGAAACTGTTATTAATGACAGGTCTACACATATGAAAAATGAATACAAATCATTTAGGAGGATCCAATGACACTGGATCTTATGAAATGGCATAAAATTAGTGGGACTGAAAAGATTTCATGCTTCCATTCAGTTCAAATTTTAAGGAGATTCACTGGCAATCCTATGCATAATTTGATCCTTTTGACTTTTAGTCATTTTCTCTTTTGGAAGGCATGTATAACAGTTCAACTAAACTATATTTTGAATTTTTCGTTTTTGTGTTTATGGTACTGAGGATTGAACCCAAGACCTTACACATGGAAGACAAGTACACTACCACCGAGCTACATCCCTAGCCCTCAACTATTTTTTTTAAAGCAAGACATAAAGTGGAACTCCCATTTTCACAATTCAAAAGACTGAGCTCTAGTATTGTAACATGAAATAAATCCAGTTGCTTGCATACTTCAGAGTGTGACTTTTTCCATTCTTGGTTCTGTTCTTCATCTCTTGAGTTCTTAAGGGACAATAATCAAAACTGAAGCCAAAAGCCTGACATAGCTTGTAATAAAACTGCCTTGTTTTTTCTCAAAAATGTATTATCTGAGGATAATAGGATGGATTTCAGACCAAATGCTTCAACCGATCCCTAGAAGTGAGAACTTTATGTGACTATCCCAGGCTTTGCATTGCCATAATCCAGTTATTAGGTTAGTCTGGTTGAGGGAATAATGGGAACATAGCAGAGCCAAGAGCTCATTGGAAAAACTTGGTGTAATATTGAAGTTTTACTCACAACAGTAAATCACACTGAGAAATGTTGAAGGGTCAGAATAGGAAAAGATATTAATCAAATGGGAAGTGGTTATCTTGAGGGTGAAATAGTGCCAAGATGGATTCAGTCACAATGGGAAAGCTGTGGAAATTGTGAAGTGTCGAGCTATAGCAACTGTTGTTATGTAATAGAACTTTCATATTCTTAGACATCCACACTGGAATACAGAAGAGTAAAGGGATATGATATGTGATTTATTTTTACATGATTAAAAAACAGATAGATGCATAATACAAGCAGATGAGCAGTGACAGAGAGAGAGAGAGAGGGAGAAAGAAACAAAAGAAGTAGAATATGCAACTGATAAAGTAAGTGGAAACATTTGTTAACAATAGGTGACATTTTTCCAGCTTTCCAGAATGCTTGAAATCATTCCCATATTCAAAGTACACACACACACACACACACACACACACACACCCAACACCAAGAGCAATTAATCTCGAATGTTGCTACCTAAGCCATATTGCCTCCCTTGTGCCTTCACCATCATGCCTCCCCCATACCCAACTCAAGAATGTCTTTGGCATCCTTCAAATAACTAATTCCCTCACACTTCCTCTGAGACAGTAAGGAACACCAGTCTTCTTGGTCATCCTCTCTTCCTTTCTCTGAAGGCCACAATTCCTAGTTCAGAAAAAAAAATGTATATGTATATATATAAATCTGGAGGACAGAGGCAGCCTCTTGGAGGTTCAAAACTCTGCATCTGAGTGTCCTATTTGTCAGTGCTTTGCTGGGGTTCTGGGTCTCTAATATTCAGGATCTTTCTGTGGACCTCCCTTGCCTAGCTAAGGTGTCTCTGTTAAGGCTAACAGGTGGAAGGGGGCCTTCTGCCACTTCTCTCTAAGGGTATTTTGACTGCCATGTGATGTGTTCTCTTAATGTGTTTTCCGGTTCATAAAAATTTGAGCCAGATTTTAAATTTTTGAACAGATATCCAAGTTATGTTTGTTAATTGACTCACAAATTTTCTTTAAGAGGCCATGAGACTGTACATGTATCAATATAAAATATAATGTCACCTTAAAAAAAGTAATAATTCAATGCAATAGAGTAAGCCATGCCACTAAAGCAGCTATAAAAGAGTCAAAAGAAGCTCAGATCAGAACAACAATGGGGATTTTCTAACTTTAATGTGCACTCAATTCTCTAAAGGAATGCTGCTACAGAGCCGCTTGAAACTGGTAGTCTGAGGTGGGGCTGAGATTCTGCATTTTCTAGGCGACACCGATGGCGCTGTTCCTTGGAAAGTGCTGAGTGGTATGTGCTCTGGTGCCTTACAGGAGGTTGTGCTCCCTTAGCCGGGAGACCTTCAAGACAGAGAAAGATTCGAGTCAGGCCATGAACATAGAGCAGAGTTTAGGTAGATGAGCAAGAAAGAAAGCATTTCAGGTGTGGGGATTGAGTGAACAAACCACTAAGGTCAGAATAAGTTTAAGTTGCATGGAGATTGACCAGTAAAAGTCTGCTGGAAAAGCCCCATGTGGTGGAGAGGAGGAGGCAAGTTTAGGATGGAAGATTTGAAGATGGGGCTAAAGAATACGAACTTTAAATTCTAGGCAAAAGAAAGACAAGAGACAGACTGATGTGACACAGTATGTTTGGACAAGGACACCCTAGATATTTACACTTCCATGGGACACTATTGTTCTAATCCCTTCCTGTGAATGGAATATTTGAAAAACACTAGACGCTACAGAAGAGTCATTAAAGGAGACCAGTTTAAAGTTTCTGGCTCCAAATTATTTTTCTCAGATCTTGCTAGCTAATTCTTTACCTTACAGTTTACATATACTATGCTCAAGGTAAATAGACAAGTGATCAGCATTTGGTTTTGTGTAATTGAACTCTAACTAGAGAGAGAGACTGAATATCTTTAGGGTAGGATAGAAAAAGCAAGATCCAGAATCCCTGTTAAATACAGGCCTAATGGGAATTAGTCTCACACAGCAGTGTGTCAATTCAAAATAAAATCTGTCACTCAGATAATAAACAGGAATACAACGTAAGTATTAAAGTGTTCTCACAGCTCTTTAACTGCCGTTGGCAACTGGGCCTTCAAGTAAATACAGATATAACACAGTACTAACTCCTTAGTTGCATCTGTAAGAATGGAGAAAGATTTTAACAATGTTTTCTGTGTTTTTCTATCTTCCCAGTCATGTGTCTCTTCACATGTCACAAAGGTGCGTTTCATATCCCCTTTAAGTACCTGCAGTGCAGACAGCATTTGTTGTGGGCCTCACTGTGTCCTCTAAAAATACGATACAAAATAAGGGTCATCAACATCACTTATTTTACCACTTTAATCAAAGGTGAACCTGAAAATTTCAAGGTTTCAGGGAAGGTGATAACAGAAAAGATTTAAATGCACATTGTTTACTTTTCTAAAATCTCATAAAACCAGTAACGTCTGTCCCACAATTTAGGATTTAAAAGCCCGTGTGAGCTTAACACATAAATAGGGCTGCAGAGGATAAAAGTTATCAGAGGCCTGTAAACATTCCTTCCATAACTTTTTATCTTAAAGGAAAATGGGTTGTTTTACAAAATAGGGAAAGAGGCCAAAAGGGAAGTCAAATGTTGTCAGTGTGAGTACATGCATTCTGAGAAACCTGGAGTGAATCCATTATCCAAGCAACAACAGCTGTGTATCTCTTCAGCTTGACTTTATCAGTACCGTTTTGAGAATCTTTTAAAAGCATTTTTTACTGCAATGTCTGTAAAAGAGAAGACATAATAAAAGTTTTAATTGAAGTGCTTTGGTAAGGTTTGTGCCATTGTGCTAATATAACTGATCTGATTTGCAGACAAATAGATCAGCTCTTTTGGCTAAATAACTTCCATAATTCAGAACAGAGCTGTATGTCTTACTGCCTAATTTCTCATTCAATCAGGAGAATTAGTTAAAATGAACAGTAACAAAGACTAATGAGTGATTTAATGGTTCTGGAGAGCACAAAGCCATGTAGCAAGAGGGAAATCTGTGTGTCACCACTTCCCAGAACAGAATAGTCGGAATGAATTCTGCTTAGTGATCAGCCAAATCTTTTACAGACACAGACATTCTCTCTTATAAAAAGAATACAACTACACAGACCAGACTATTAACTTAGCACAATGTAGCTAAGTTACAATAGACTGTAACTCAACTTAGACTGTATTAACCTGGCCAAAAAAGAAATCATTTTTGTTACCAATGATACATCTACCTTCACTCTTCCTATGACTTGTAGTCCTACATTACCTCAGTTGGGTGTCATGGTTTCACTTGACAATTCATGTCTGGAAGAGCCCTTCACTCCAAGGCTCTTTTTCAGTCCTTGTTTTCTCTTGTCTGAAAAAAACCTGTGAGTTGACATAGAGCTTTAGATAACTATGGAAATGATTAATGTTAAAATAAGATACACTGTTAAATGTATCAGCCCCATGGACACTGGTCCATGGGCAATGATTAGGCTTGTATCCTGCAGCAGTGTGCAATAGGGACCTTAAAATGCTACAGAAAAAAGTCACAAAGAAGTCAAAGGTGGCAGGTGCTTCTAACCTGTGTAGGCATTTTTTTTCCATGTAGACTTTACAGTAAGGATACACAATTCAAGAAAGCAACTCTAGTCAGTAGCAATTCAGGTAGAGGAATATTGTTCACAAAGAGGTTTTCAGCAGAATCACAATGGAAATGGATGAGATTTAAAGAATAATCCAGTTGAATTAATCTGTTTTACAGAGGAGGAAGTTGGAGTTACAGGAAGACTGAATGGGTCACCCCATATCAAACTGTCTTATAGAGACTGGGGGAGGTCAAGAAACCACAGTGTGTCCAACACCAAAGGTTTTCTGTTTCACCAAAGTGTCCATTTGTAATCCTAACTCTGTAGCTTTAGTCATGAATCAAAACATAGGAGGATTCCAAATGCTCTTTATTTTATTTATAGTTCATGATGTAGTCACATTTGTTTAATGAACAAGACCAGTGATTGTTCTTCTAGGACCCTTTGAAAGTTTAAATTGGTCTCTTTGAAATTTAATCCAAATGCTTATTTGTAGGGACTTTCCAAAAGTACCTGTAATGTAGTTAGATAATTCATTGCCTTAACTAGAGAAACCTGTGAATCTAGCACAGTCATGCAGCTGAGGTTTTATTATCTAGAGTCTTTGCTTACTCAGTGAAAGACTCCAAAGAACTTTATCACCAACTGTACTGGGTAACCTTGCTGAAGAAAACAAATGTATCTATATCTATATCTATGTTTATATCTATGTCTCTCTCTTTATCTTTCCATCTGTAAAATCAGGCAACATGTAGAGTAACACAATGAGGAAGTTTATAAAAGATTTGGAAGTTATACAAATCTTTGAGATAGATAAAAACCAACCTAGGTGTGGTGGCTATAATCTGCATAATTTAGGGTATAATTTTTCTAAACTACCATCTTTAAGACTCCCTTAAAAAATGGAAGAACTCTCTTGCCCACTCCCTGACTGTACCATCTTTATTTAGGCTTCACTCCTTAATTGTCTCGATTGCTTTTCTTCTTCTTTCTTGTACCACACCCTTGTTCAGGCAGAGTGCTACAAAGAAGTGGCCCTTCAGAGAGCTGAGTTTCAATAGGTCCAATACTGGGCAGTCAAGTGCCCCTCCTTTACTTCCTAGAGTTCTTCCTATGTTAGGGAGACAAATCAGATGCTGTCCACAGGGTAAGGCAGAAAGAGCACCAGTGCCACCACCTGGATACAGGGAGAATGAGGCATCACTCGAAGTCATTGTGAGTCCAAGAAGGAACAGGTGATTGTGCTTTGCCTTTGGCCCTTTCCTTTTAATTTCCTTATTGCAATTTCTTTGTCTTTCTCTTTTTTTCACTTCTCACCTTTCCTACACATATATGTTAACCCTTTTCAGTTTTACCTATTGTACTGTTTAGGAAGAGGTCCAGAGAACAGTGAGGGGCCATCCCAAACTGGAAGAGGAGGGAGGCCAGAATGAGAACTCATCCAGTGAGCTTTGTGCTTGTATGTAGGTTTACATGTTCCCTCGAAATACAGGAAAAGCTTCTGGGTAAAGTTTGCCTCATGCTTCTTGAGGTTTAGTTAAGCTCAATCAGATCCTCAGCTCTGATAGTGTCAGAAATTTTGTTGTTCTGTGAGGAAAGAAAAGCAACATGCCTTACAGTCCTCATCTGCTTTGTGATGCTAGAGCTTTGCAGTGCTCCAGGATACAAAACTCTATTTTATGTGATAGGATTTTCTAGTTACTCTAACCAGGAATTCAGGGAAGTTGACTACAAATGATTATGAAAAGGCAGAG